AATCTTTTTTGACAATATCAGCATTAAATGTTTCTTCAACGGCCTTATAATTCTGTAGTTTATGATTTTTATTATATTCTTCAGAATGGTTGTGTTGTTTATTAGAACTTAAACATTTTTGAGTACTAGTACCAATTCCATCGAAATTATCAAGACGTTTCTGCTGTGGAAGATTAGTAAAATATTCTGAATTATCCATATTATGTTGAACACTGTTATCAGAAATTACTTGAATATCATTAAAGTCATACTTTCGAAAACCATTACGACTGTTAGATTGTTTACCAATTTCTTTGTAATTATGTTGGTCAAACTCTTTAGAATTCTCCCACTTATTTTGTTTAGAAACATTATCAAATTGAATACCACGTTGTAATTTTCCATTGTCAATATCCAGATATTTTTGATTATTACTTAACGCATAACCAGAATCTTTTTTGACAATATCAGCATTAAATGTTTCTTCAACGGCCTTATAATCCTGTAGTTCATGATTTTTATTATATTGTTCAGAATGGTTACGTTGTTTATTATAACTTAAACTTTTTTGAATACTAGTACCAAATCCATCGTAATTATCAAGATGTTTCTGCTGTGGAAGATGAGTGAAAGATTCTGAATTATCCATAATATGTTGAACGCTATTATCAGAAATTACTTGAATATCATTACCGTCATGATTTTGAAAACCATTACGACCGTTGGATTGGTTTACAATTTCTTTGTAATTATTTTGGTCAAACTCTTTAGAATTTTCCCACTTATTTTGTTTAGACACATTACTAAGTTGAGTACGCCGTTGTAAGTATTCATTGTCTATATCAGGATATTTTTGTTTACTTAACTTAGAACCAGAATCTTTTTCGACAATATCAGTATCAAAGTTTTCTCCAGGAACCTTATAATCCTGTAGGTCAATGTTTTTATAATTTTGTTGGGATTTGTTACATTGTTCATTATAAATTAAAGGGTTTTGAACATTAGTAGTACCCATTTCATCGTAATCATGACGCTGTAAATAAGAAATAAAAACTATAAACTTATTCTTATTATGTTGTTACTTTTAAAACTCACTTGTTTATATTTAGTACTAGATGTTCGAAAACTTGAACATTGTTTACTACTTAGTATGTCACCGCCTTTGTTAAATTCTTGACGATTCTCCCACTTATTTTGTTCAGAAACATTATCAAGTTTTGTGTCACATCGTAAAGATTGAGCATCAATACCAGGATACTGTGGATCACAACTAAAATCTTTTTCATATTGTTTATCAATAAGTTTATCTTTAACAGCTTCGCGATCCCACTTTTGTTGAACAACATTGGATTCCTGCAATCTATTACTTTGATCATATCGTTTAGAATCATTGTACTGTTCATTGTTATTAAAATGTTTTCGAGTCATCGGACCAAGCTGATCATGTTGTGGTTGACCATTGTGATTATTGCTATTTGGATCTTCATGATTGTCAACATATGCATGAACTATGTTCCTTTCGCTAGAAATCTCTTTTTTTGGCTGCAGCTCTTTATATACTTCTTCGCGATACTTTACGAATGGTACGAGATCACTATTTGTACAAGACATATGCATATTTAAAACTGTGCACATACTATGATATATCATACTTACGGCATTTTTCTGCATACTAGACGATGATTGGGCCAATCAATTCTTTGGCAATTTTCACTACAATAAGGTTCCCCACACCTTGCACAAGTATGAGAAGCTTTTTTATAACATCTTTCACATATCTCCTCCATAATCGCTTAGCATATTCAAAAACACTTATTTAATTAAATAATTCATTAATTAAATATTTGTCTTTTTCAAGAAATACTATATAAATATGCCTATGGACAATTAAAACACGAGAATTGAGCAAAATTTGTATTCCCGTTAACTTAACGAAGAAATGAATTAATGAAATAAAGAAATGCGATTTATGCATCAAAAGGGAATCAGCAGCTCAGTTCAGCGACTTAAACCCAGGGATGCTTTTGAATCAACAAGTTTTGTGCATTAATTATAAAATATTTGCATTCGTATATGCATTCGTATGTTTTTTTTCAGTTGTTATCAACTTACAAAAATAAGTTAAATTTTAAGTTGCGAAAACCAATCTTATATTACATTTAATTTAAAATAAACTCTAAATTTAGAGTAAAATTACGTTTAAGTTTTAAAATCAATATTGCAACAGATTATGGATGAATTCTGAGACAATAATCATATAAATGATCATTTTTATATTTTTATTAAATTCAAATTTAAATATTGAAAATTTATAGATGTTGAAATTAAAATATTTTATCAACTTTATTTTGCTATTGTGGACCAAGAAGTAAACCACAATAACTTAATTACTAAATAAATATGAACATTATACTAAATACCTACAAAATAATTGGTAAATTTGTTTAAAAAATAATATTTTCACTTTTAGTGACAATAAAAACCTAACCGCCAAAAACAATCAAATTAGGAGATATTTTCGTTTTTATCGATCTTTGGTGATTGCCAATTTAGCAGAATACAAAATTAGGAGATTTAGCGTTTTATCCGGAGCAATCAGCTGTTTTTAAAAGTTAAGAAAATCAGCGAATAGAAATTAAGCGTACCGGGTTAGCAAAATCGCCAAAGTCGCTAAAATGCATTTAAAGAACTTTAACGATGGAGTTTTAGCGATAGCTATTAGTAGAATCGGCTTGCTATTTGTTGATTATAAAAGTAATGTCCCATATTATAGTCATTAAAGTAACATACAAAATTTAAAATTTTTTTATTTAAAGTTTAAGATCGTACACTTCAATACGCTTTTTTTATTTAAAGTTAAATACTTTTTACTTCAAAACGCTTTTATTTCTGTTATAATTATAAAACTTATTTTGTTCTTAACCACTTTGCACATATTTTAAAATATTGTATAGAAACTTGTAAAGAATAATATTAATAATAAAAATATTTTAGAATATTTTATAGTTGCGTTTTTCAGCTAAAAGTTAATTATTTCAAATAAACTTATTTATTATTTATATTAAATTATTATAATAATTTTAGATAAAAAAAATCGACACATTATTTTCTGATCAATTTAGTAGTTTTATTGCAATGAAATATGAACTTTATAAAACTTTATAAGTCTTTAACTGAGAATGCAAGCATGTTGCTTGCATATTTATAAAAGAAACAAAGTAGTGGTACTCACGATCACCTATGAATAGGCTTTGTCTGGTTTCGAATAGGTATGAATTGTTTCGTTAAAAATCGTACATATGTTGACAACATACTGATCACATTGAATTTCTTATATATTTAGTAACATGTGTTTATTAATTTCTCAGGCTACCGATATAAAGAAATTAAATTAAAATTAAACTTTCTTTGAATATATTAGAAAATATTAAAACTTGAAATATAATCAAAATGCCATAACATAGCTCTATAGCTGATATTTTTTTAATTCGTATTTTAAAATTTGAACCTTTTATCAGTTTTTTCTTGTGTTGCTGTCTTTTCTTCTTTATTCAACAGAAGGTCTTTTATTTTTGAGAGTAAGAACAGAGTTCTCTCATAAAAACTAATTTTTTATATTATATCTATCCCACAACATGGATGCTCTATATTAATTTGTTATTATATGAATTTGTGATATGTTTAGACAATGCCATGTTCATATTATTTTACACATTTTTTTATATATTCAAAATTATTAAACAAATATTTAATGTTTTTATTAGTGTCGACCTCAATATTTATGTTTTAAATTTGGCCGGGCTTTAGGTCGTGGTTTCAAATTTTGTTTTTATATAATAATTTTTATTGTATAAAAACACAAATTTTAAATTAAATAAAATATCACATTTATTACTTGATGTAATATATTTTATTAATTAACAAATATTTCGGTCTACTTTGTAGACCATCTTCAGTGTTACAATTAATACAAATATTTGTAAAGCCCGGCCAAATTTAAAACAAATATTTAATACTAAAATTAATACTCATATTATTACTTACATGGACACTCTATTGTAATAAATTCGCCATCATAATAGAACATGTGAATTTTTTGGGTTAGTTTTAAATGACCATGCAGTTTCAAGATTTGATACGTACCGGCTTAGGTTTTGGCGACATTTTTACACACGCTTTCACCTTTTCGCTATACATACAAATCTTTGTTGCGAAAGAAATTAATAGGAAAATAATACGTACATATTTGTATTTTCTAGAGCAGGGCTGTCCAGCCTACATACGTTCGCGGGCCAATACAAATTACTGATAAATTTATTTCTCTCAATTTATTCATTTGAAATCAATTTTTAGGATACCATAAAAATAAAATAATATAATTTTACCAAATTATATCAAGAGAAAATTTGCGTAATTGTGGTAGATTAGAAAGATGTGGCGGTCCGCATATATATATGTTAGCCGCGTACCGGATCTGGCCCGTGGGCCGTGATTTAAACACCCCTGTTCTAGAAAATATTAAAAGCACATGTGAATGTAAATATTGTTGAATATCAAAAAATACATGTGACAATATATAACAACATATATGTATGTACATATATACCAAAATACATATATACATAATAGATGAAAAATATATTAATTTTTATCTTGCACTGTTCGAAATACCGCTCTATTGTAAACAATAGTTAATATTAATAATTTACTTTCGACAAAACGGACGTTAAAAATAAATTTAATATTAAATATTATAAAAATTTAATTAATGAAAAATAAAAACAATAATTTGTATATAAGAAATAAGTAAAAATATTTGTGCATGTCAACAAACATTTTGGCATACATACATACATACATATATTTCTAAACAATATCGTGTCATTGGAGAATGTAAAAATCCTCGAACTCTTATTCAAGACAAATAACTGAATATATTTGCTTTTAAAAATACTTCTTCACCTACATACATATGTTTATGTTAGTATCAAATTCAAAGTTTTGAAGTAAGATTTGTGTTGTTGTACTAGATCTTTGAGGATTCTGTCATGACATGTCTATAACCAATTCATTATTACAAACACCTGTCATACTATTATGATATTTAGATGAGCAACTAAACTCAATTAATTGTTCCCAGTTTCTTTTACCTACATATCTAGTTCAAATTATGAAGTCTTTATCACTTTTCGTTTTATATAATTAATCCATAACATGTTCTTCAAGATCAAATAAAAATTATAAGAAATGATAAGTTTAATTTTATTTATCACTCTTTTTTATTGTGGCATACCTCCAAATCTAAGAGGTAGCTGAAATTTATTAACATTTTGAATATATGTACATTTAACAATGAACAACTTTAGCCTCACAACTTTTCCTCTCCAATAAAATTTTTATCGATTATTGTTGCATAGTTTAAATTATTAAAGTTATTTACAAAAGTTTTTATTTTATATAAACAATATTTTGAAACACGTATAATTTATGCCTGCCATCATGTTTAAATTTCATATATCCCTCTTGGCACAGAAAAATGAACTTCTTCCACATGAACGCCTTGCTGCTCTCTTATGCCAAAAGCTCACCTTTAATCATAACCAAAACTACATCCACCAACTTTAAGGCTACAGCACACTTCACCCTAAACGAAAAACCAACTTAACATTTATTTAGGAAAATAAGTTTAGCAATAAAAAGTACACAGAAATGGGAATGACTGAAGTAAAATCCCACCGGCGCAACCAAAAGTATTACAATAATTATGATAATCTAAACCATAAAATAAAAAATAGAAATACTAAAGAATTACCATACTTTGTGCTACCAAATTCAAAGTTACAAAGTAATTTTTATTTTATGCTAAATACGAACGAGCACACCAGCAAAAACACAAGCAACAACCACATTAGCAGAAAGGACGACTTCAACATTTCCAGCTTTGCAGTTGGTTCCAAAGCGCACAATATTTATCATCACCTCACATCAGCATATATCGCATTATACCGTATAGACGGTATAGCGGTGAGTCGTCTCGTTTCGCATAGCATCAACGTATCACTTTGTATCCTGTTGGCGTCATCCCAACGGTCGTATTTCGTTTATATTTTGACCCTTGAAACTGTCACAACTGACATTTGTGACGTGAACAGGTTTTTCCTTATATAATTTTTGCGAATATATCTGATTTTATAGGTTTGTGTGTATCTTAGCGAATACTGATTTGATGGTTAGTGGTAGAGAATCGTGAGTTGACACACACCACCAGTGGCGTAACTACATTTTTTAGGCCTGTAAGCAAATTCTAACTAAGGGGCCCCTACCAACATATTAAGGGGCCCCTATTTTTATACTCTTTACACGAAAAAATGTGAAAAGGATATATAAGGTTAGTCAAGATTTTCGTAACGCATTAAAAGAAACGTCGGAAATACCATTAAGTATATATCAGTACAATATATATATACTTTTTCAGTTCAAACTACTCTCTCAGCTTTTGAACTCTTCGAACGAAACTTTACACACATACTTTTCGGGAGCCATTTGGTTTGATTGAAATTGGACGTCTATTTCTTGTATCTGTGATATAAACTTAACAATCGGATATGAGGTTTCTCCATTTTTAATAAAGGTATTCAAATGAAATTTGGTGTATACAGTA